AAATCGGACTGACGACTTTAACGAGCCGTCCGCTCCCTCTTCTCTCTCTCTCTCCTTTCGCCACCGATCTTCCGGAGCCAGGGAGTCCCGCTCGATGAGAATGAAAGGATCAAACCTATGTAGACGTATACCAACGTGCTCTCCGTCTGCGATTCTCGTTAAGCTTCACCGTGAAATTTGGCAAGCACCGCGGCGCCTCGCGCGGGTCCATCGATCATCCCCGTTGATGGGCCTCGCGACCGGATCGTTGGCACGGAAGCCTCTGGCTAAGGAGCCCGAGCCTCGTCAAATCGCAATTAGACGGACGATTTAAAAGAAATTTTTCATCCGGCTGACTCAACTCCTTCTCCACTCGAGGGTACATCGGTTCCAGAGAGCCGAGCAATGCCCTGAAAATCGCTTGAGACAACGTTCTCGCATGGAATCTTCGTAGCGCGTTCAACGTGCGAGACCAGAAGTTCATATTGCACTGTGCGCCGATAGTATCGAGGTTTACACACGATGTATAAGCGTGCCTATCGAGAACGGAAGCAAAGATACTGCGCATATAAATGCGCGGCTTGCCCTTTCCCGATTAAATCGTTCGATCGGCCGACATCTCGGAGAAAAACTGTGTTCTATTCTCGGGCTGCCCACGATTCCAGTTAAGCGAGCCGTCAGCTTTCCTTCAAATCCTTGTCGTTCCTTTTACCTGGGCGTGTTGCGCGAGAGAAGGTGCATAGCGACTCGACGACAGGGTGGATACTTTATACGAGTTACACCCGAGTTACGCTGCGCGCTGAATTCCAAGCTACCTCTATCAGATTAAGGTGTCGTCGTTCTTCTGTACATAGTTATAAATTCAACTATTCTCATTTCATATATTTATAGAAAAATCATAGGAACGTCATTGTTTTTGGATCGATATAGATTTCATTTTTTAAATTTACATCACAATTGTTTCATTCGCTGTAAAAATTGTTGAATAAAAAGAAATGATAGCAACCCTCGAAGAGAACTATATACCTTACAATTTCCTTGACAGCTGCGAAAAAATCTGACGTAGCAGAAAGGTATCCGGTTTGGCAACGCGGTCGTCCATTCACCGTTAACCCTCGAGATAGGTTTGCAGGTTAGAGAAACGTCCGAGATGATGAGATCAGAGACGAGGAGGAAGGATAGAAGGTTGAAGGCTAGACTCGTTATTCCCTAAAACCGAGATCCACCGGAGCCTCCTCTGTATCAGCGACGCTCGGTTACCAAACTGAACATAAATTAATCCCGTCAAATGTCCTCGTTCGTTAACCAGCCCGGAGCCCGATAGTCCCCGGTAAGCAAGGTTAATCTTACAGGTCCCGGTCTTGCGTAAGCCTGTCTCGTTCTACTTCCCGACAACTTCTTGATTTTTATCATTCTCTAATCGCAGTTGTCATTAAACAATTTCTAAATAAACAATATAAGACGGTACGACTGTCGATATAACCGTAGAAAAATTTATTGTTGACTAGCTGAGAAAACCGAGAGAAGCGCGGACGTTCCGGGGACGGGTTTCCAAATGCGACCCGCGTTCTTGATATTTAAAGGCAACTTTTTAAAGGCCGACTTTCCCGTCGCGTATCGACGCTAAGCCAAGGTTCGACCCGGCTTGACTTAAATCCCGATGCGAAAGTGATGCAACCGGGCAGCGCGCTGGACCGCAGCTGCTCGCTTACCGTTTTACTACCCAAAGTACTACGGCTAAGGATGCCGCTTGTTACCGGTTCCACCGGGACTTGCCTTATCGGGCGACGAATCGCGATCACCCTCGATCCGATCGATCGATCGATCGCGTCGCCGAACGACTGTCCCCGCTAATGACCGCGCTGATCCACGAGAAAAAACTACCTACCGGCTCGAGGATTTCCGAGCGACACGGCGACGGCTCGCCAAAATCGTCTTGTGTTTTTTATTTTCACAGAGCTCACTTGGAGTTTCGCAAGGAACTTTCGGACGGGACGCATTAACTACACCCCGAGCTATCGTTTCGTTTCATTTCAGACCCGCGTCCCCCTTGTCGCGCGGGTTCGAGGGGTGGGCCTTACATCCCCCGCGTGCGGTACTCGCAAAGTTACCACCGCGGCTATAAAACGATACTGTGCTCCGTTACCGCGAGCGAAAGCATATTGCGGTTATTGTTGAATTAAGCCGACCCGCGAGAGAGGGTGCGCGAAAGAGGGACTCGACCTTCGGTGTCCATCCCGATTATCTCAGAATATATGAGCCTTTTTTTTAATCACAATCTAACCTTCTCTTATTCCAAACGTATTAAACGTTAAATAGACGTGAATATATAATATCCCGTGAAGAGAATAAGCGTTAAATTACGCTACAAAAACTGTAAATTCTTGATAGCACGCTCGGCGAGAACTAGAAAAAAGCGAAATATCGACTGAGCTTCGTCCCTCGCGAAGCTGAATTCGAGCTATTCGAGCAACTCCCCGAGGTTCCGCTACGCAAGCCAAGGGGTGTCTCGCGATTTATGCAAAATGGTACGCAGCTCCCTCGGGAGTTTAACCAGAAACGCCGATCGACCCTGTAGCCAACGCGTGCGAGGTTCGTGTCACGGCCCCCTCGGTGCATCTCCCGAGCTTCTTTTTCTTATCCTGCAGAGCCAGACCACTCGAGGAGATCGGTCCCGAAAGGGGTCCCCGTACCACGTATCCTGGAACGATCTCGATCCAACTGAAAACCCTTCTCTCTCGCTGTCGCGGTCTCTGGCGAGATTTCTTTGCTACGATTAAACTAGGACGCAGGCCTTAAACGCAATTTCGATCGGTCGTCACCGGGAATTGAAAGGGACGCGTGTAATTCGGAATTCACGCGGCGTGCGCGAAGACTTCGAAGGGTGTCGGAATAAATAGGCACTTACGAGCCGGATGATCGAGGGACCGTGGATCATTTAATTTAATTAGTTGCCGGGGGTTAATAGTAGAGATAAAGGTGGCTGCTCGTGCTGGATATTATAGAGCAAACCCCCGAAATATAAATCGTCCCTTCGAGGAAGGGGGCGAGCCACGTACCGCTCGAAAAACTGCCGTCCTACTTAATTTTCAACGACTCCGGTCCGTCGCATAAGATCCGCGAGAGATAAGAGGAGGGTCGCCTCTCTCTATGCGCTTATTGCCTGCTCGAGAGGCCGAATCGAAGAATGCTCTCGCGTGAAAATCACGTTCGAGACTCCTGACGCGCACCGCTGGATTTCATTTCATAAACCGCAACTGTTGCCACTATTCGGTTCGAAAAGGGAGCATAGCTAAACAATTACGGCTCGACCTCTCCCGTGGTCCAACGATTTTCCCCTCTGACTCGCGGATTCGTTCGAAACCAAGAAAGCCTTCGAAAGCGATCGATAGAGATCTCGTAGGAATTCAAAAGCGAGAGGACACGCGGACTGCTCGATAATTTCGATGGGCGGCCGTATTAACTATATTCCGACGAATACGTCGGTGACGGGGGAGACGGAAGGCGGTTCCGGGGGAAGGGAGATGGTTCCGAGCCGCGGATGTCTCCGACATTGTATGCAGATGAAGAAGGCAGGGCGACAATGACTCGGGACGTCGGGGCCGAGGACCCGTTCGTTTTCAACTCGAAAGAAACTCATCCGGCAGGAAAGGGGGCCCTCCTTTGGCTCGTGCCCTCCTCCCCAGACGCGCTCTTATGTACTACGCATCCATACATTAACATGTCATCATCGCGCGGAAACCGAGCCGGAACCTCCTCCTCCTCGTCGCGTCGCGTCGCCTTCGCGTGACGACCATCGCCGCCCCCTCCGACCAATCTTCCCTTCCAATTTCCAACAATTATTCGCGTGGGCGTCGGATTTTCGACCCGGTCGACGATTCTTTGTCTAAAGAGGACTTGATTATAGAATTTGAACGAATGTAATTCTTATGAAACGATCAAACAGACGTTTCGTATCGAATTAACCTTAAGACAATGTTATTGACGGTGATGCGAAGGAATCGAGGCTGAAAATCAAACCTGGGGGAAATGGTCGACGGGAGAGAAGTTGGGCATCGCTCGAGGGGAGTTTGTAGTCGGGTCGATATGACTCCGGGGGTTGTTTGGCAGATACACGTAGTAGACGTACGCGGAGGTAAGCGCAAGCAGAGAGGCACGGGCCTTTGGGTGGCAGCCGAAAGGTGGAGACGGGACAGGGCTCGGGATGTAGGAAGAGAGGGCCGGATTGGTAAACCGGTCACGTAGTGCCCGGCGATGAATGGACCCGGCGAGTCGAGGCCAGAGCCGGGAATTGGCTACTGGGCATACCTCGACCACCTACCCCACTGCGTCAGCTTTAGCCACCCCACGGCAACGTAAAATTACAAAAGAGGTGCTCAAACCGAGGCTTCCTCCCCCGGAGTCGTTGCTCGTCACGCGTCAAAATTGCTTCGTCGATGCCTCGTCGCCCGTCCTTCGACTGAGCTTGCACTTTTCACCTTCGCCCACCTCCTACCGAGAAAACCGTTTTATTTAAACCGATAGCCGAATAGATAACTGTCAGCAACCAATCGAGATTCCATTTGCGCAATCCTCGAGGGTCCGTCTGCTCGTTGTCGCGCGAGTCGAAACGAGCCACCCCCTCGCGCAATCTAAACCGAGCCTCTGATCTGCCATAAAGTCATCTAGTAACCCATCCCGAGGGTTAAGTATCCCAGAATCCCAACTTCTGTATTAAGTCCAAGTCTAGCTAACAGTTAGAAACTCTGACAGTTTTCTATTATTCCCGATGTTAATTTCGTACGGGCCGAAGAACCGCGGTAGGCGGGAGCGAGAAGGGTGACAGTTGCGCCACGGGATTAAAAAATAAAAGCTCGTTATAAATCAAACGGGTTGTCAACGAGCGCGGCGGCGGCTGGCGTAAGGAAGAAGGTAACGCGAAATGGGGTGGACGGGGCTAGGCGAAAACCCTTTCGTTAATTGCGCATCGCAGATGCCGAGGCCGTTGCAGCCGCTCTCTTTACGACTCACTTTCCTAGCGAATACGACTACATCTACGAGAATAGCAGAAAAAATATACGAGCAGTGTTTACGAGTGGGTGAAAAGTAGTTCGTGTAACTATAATTATATAAGTCATTGTACATTCGAAATAATTATAGTTATTGTTCCCGATACACGTCGAACCAAAATAACGAACGACGATGAACGAAAGATAACGAACTTGTAGAAGTGGAGTACGAACAGAAAGACACTTTACATAAAATAATGTATTTATTGTAATACCCCATTTCGCTACAGCGATTAACATTGATTTTAACACAACTTATACCGTAAAATTCTATGTAATTATGCATTTCCACACTGACACGATGCCTGGTTTGCGAGAGGACTCTGGAACTGATCGCTCGCAGCGGGACGATTAGAGACAAATCTGTAAGCTGTAACATCACAAGCAAAACCGACTTAATTTCACCATCGGCGAAACGCTTTTCTGCATGGGATAAATGCATCGAGAATTGAAAACGTATACGTGTATGTACGTAGGGTATGCGAACAGGGCGCGAAGTGGGCCAGCTACGAGTCTGGGACCTTACCTTTCGGAGGTCCCCGGGTTATATCTTTGAGCAGAGATCTCTTCTTCACGGCGGAGACGGAGGAAGAGGCCAGGGAAACGTTATTAATTGGCTACACGATAAAACAGTGTTAGTCCCCATTCGCTGTCCTGCGCCGGGACCTCCCCTGGCTTCTTCCCAAGATATGGGGCCACGCGACTTCGACCCACGGACGCGCGTGTATGCATCCGCGTGTACAGCCGTGTCGCGGATGGGAAAAAAAATGTGACAGAAAAATGTCTCTCGAATTCGGTAGAAGCGATACGGCTATGTACCAAATCGTATTAAGTATCTCTGGTACACGCTGTCAGAAGTAGCAGAGCAATGAATTTAAGATGTCATTGATTTTTTCCTACAACGCTTTTTCGAAGCTGGCCGAATTTCGTGCCCGTCCGCAAACGATTCACGCTTCACGACAATAATGCTAATTGCAATTATAAGTACGGGTTGGCGAAACAGTGTTACATACCGATCGTGCGACGCAGCCGTTTTGCCAAAGCTCGCCGGTTCGTCGTGGAAAAGATATTCTAATTTATAGACCACTAATTAAGTGGTAGAGTCGGCCTGCGCGCGAGGTAATTTAATTTGGCCGCGGCGCGGCGCGGCCAGAGAATGGAGGAATGAAACGCGAGAATACAAAAGGGATCCTGAGTCCACCCCCGTCGCATCCACGTTTCGCGTCTCGTTTCTTTCTTCCCTATCTCGCTCTCCCTCTATCTCCCCGCGTGTCGTTGGCGCGCGTTCGTTTTTTGCTCGTTCCTCGGTTACAACGCAAATGCCTTCGACTTGCTTCCTCCGTCGTTCGCTCCTTCTCGATTTCTCCTCCACCTCGGAGGATCGGCGGGTCCTTTGCTTCGCTCGTTACACAGACACCGGTGTCGATGGGGTATATATATCGCGTGTGTTTCGCGTTTCATACATACCCCTATCGTTTCCCTCCGTCCCCTCGTCTCTAAAGTTCGTCTCGTCGTAGTTCTCCTCCCCCACCTCTGTCATTCTCTCTGTCTAACGTTATCCCTCCTCCCCCTTACCCTCTCTGTTCTTTTTTTCGATCGCTGTGCGTGCATGTCGGCCGTTGTTGTTGTTGCTGTTGCTGGTGCTGTTGTCCCTCCCATGGACAAGGGAAGCGAGAGTATGAGCGCCTATAGGCCATAAGGGCTAACAAGGCGATTACTCATGCCTCCCATAAGAAGAAGTTACAAGCGGGTTCGAAGGTTTATTGCGGCAAATGGCGAAATTTGTACCTTGCTAACGATCGACCGTCTTTTTTGCTCCATCGTCCCCCGTCCTCCCACCCCCAGGACCGATACACGGGACTCGCTCATAGTCGAATAATTAACGGATATCGCCACGAGTTGATCCACGAGCTCGCGACTGCCGATTACCCCTCTTCGCCTCGAATCGTCCGACCATTTCCAACGCCCAACAACTGCGCGACATTTCCCTTTCGAGACGACCTAATGAGGAAACACGCGTCTCCGACTAACAATCTTTAACAACAGTTCATTTATTAATCAGCCAGAACCCTTTATTCTAATCTTAATCTGGATTTTGTCACAATTCCAAATGTTAAAATGTACAACCACGATATTTCTCTTGTTCCAGGCGCGAAGGCTCTTACCTCGAATCCGACGATCAGGGCAGTCCGAGCGTATGGAGCACTCGTAAACGTCCAAAGCGACCCCGAAGGAGCGTCGAGGATCCGGATCCCGTTGGACAGAGGCTGCGTGGATCCGCGGACGATCGACGATCCAGGAGCAGGAAACTGCAATTTGGTAAAGTGGGGTCTTAGCTTTGGGTTGTTGATCCGTGGGTCCCACCCCTTTCTCAACCGGTCTAAATCCCTCTTGTCCCTCCCTTCCCGGGGCCCCGAGCTCTAATTAGATTTTAAGTGAGAAATTGAGCCCGCCGGCAATTTTTAGGAAGCCGAACGCGCCCAACTTGATTAATATCATTATACGTGTTCGCTCGTTACGTCGTTGGGCCCATGGAATTCGCTCATACTACCTCCTAGTTCCATATACAAATTTGCTAAAGAAAATCAACAGCTGAGATATTCTCAGTCCAGTCTTACAGTCTTCTGCCATATAGATATTCGATAGTTAATGTAATACTTTGATCTTACGAAGAACGTCGATTCCGTAATACTATAGAATTCGACGTGATAACGTAGACAGACACCGTGTTAATATTTATACACAGAAAAAGTTTATTTCATTTTGATTATCGGCTGATAACGTGAAGTAGCCCAGCTCGACTTGACGCCTACTTTACTTGTCCGCGTTGCAATTAATGTAATCCGATCGATTACACGTTAGCAAAGTTCGTTGCTGGCGTCGCGTCGTTAGATAATAACCGCGATCAGAATTATTAGGAGATTAACGACGCTTAAGTGGGTACGACTTGCAATAATGAACGCTCGTCTCTCGCATTAATCCACATCCGCGTGCGCCGAGAAAAACGTCCACAAGGCGCGGTAGCTCGGTGTTCGCTCATTTTCATAATAATGCGGTCTGGAACTATAGACCGCCTTGAAGAAATCTAGTTCGAATGTAAATAAATGTTCAGGAATGGAAAATATAATAGGTATGCATAAACCGGAATCGAGTACGAATCGGTGAATGATTGAAAGAGACGAAAGAACGTTCGGGGAAACGCTGCCGAAAGTTCGCTCGTTTCTCCATTACGGGGGTGCTATTAATCTCCGCGGGAGCCGAGGGAAACGCGACGTTATTAATTTAAATCGGCTCGCGACTCGTCGTAAATAAAACCTTGGCTCTCTGCCACGAGAAGATAAAAAAGAATTACTATCGAGGCTTAATCGGAATTTCGTCAAAGATGCTGCGATGAACCCCCTTAACCCTTTTTCTTCGTGCAACCTGGACAACGAAACGGAGAGGAGGACGACGACGGTTAGGCTGTGATGCCCACAGCAGCTTTCACTGGGCAACGGTCATCCTGGACCGTTTCATCCTGGACGAACTCGATTCGAAAACTGGATTCCGACCTGAAAGAGGCCGTGCAGGAGGGTGAACCGAAAGCCTATTCCCTTCCGGAGGGAAGCATAATAGCTCGGGAACTAGAACGTTGGAAATAGTGATCGTGCGAGCCGAGGAAGGAAACGAGAAGAAGACTCCAGCAATAAACTAACGTCCGTGTATCGAGCATGGGACCGTCTCCGGTCGCGAGGTCCGACCAAATCAGAAATCTCGAATCGATAATAAGACAAATTGCGTAGCCACTGCTATAATTAAAGTTCCGGTAGAGGCGGTATCTACGATCGCGCAAAATCCGAGAGCCGTGTAGCCGGTAGGTAGTATCCGCGACGCGTCTTGTTGTCGCGAAAAAGAAGGAAGCACGCGGGAGGCTCGCTCGATCCCTGTTTCGCTGCCGGTTTCTCTCGACGGATCAGATAGTGCGGCGGCCGTATCGGTGTCGCGAGGCTGGTCCGGCGTGCTCGGTGCCCGGTATCAAGTCATCAGAAAGCCAACCAACGGAAGAAGAGTGGAAAGGGGTAGGAGAGCGACGAGCTCTTGCAACCGTCCGATGATAAATGATACGTTGATACGTGGAGCGAGCCGATACGAAGCTTTCCTCCCTGCTGAGGTAACAGCCGGACCAGGGAAACGACGGAGGAAACGAACACGGCACGACAGCCACGGTGCGGAGAAAAAAGCTGACCGAGCGAACTGGCCAAAGAGCGATCCTTGTCTCTTGTGCGTCGTGGCTGCAGCAGCAGTGGTCCAGTGAGAATCCTGCGAGCCCAGTCCCGAAGGCTAGAACTCCTAGGGAATTCAGGCAAAACCGGTCCAGCGCTGGTCAGTTCAGTCTGGCTACTATCCGCTCCACTACCTGATCTCCTTCCTCTCTTTTGCACCCTTCCGCCCCGCCGTATCCTCTCTTTGTTTGGTAAAAAAAATTCTAGAACCGTGCGGATATGGCCGATCGATGGAACTCTTCCGCGGACACGCGACGACGATCCAGCAGGAACCTCGGCACCTGCACGCGTCCAACGGAGCCGAAGGTTTCCGCTACCACGTGGCATGCGGTAACGACGACGTCTGAATAAATATACGCGGATACCATCGATCCACGAGCGAGAAAAAGTCGAGCGTCTTGGACGTCGATGACGCGATTACGATGGAACGTCGTCGTAGCCGGCGTCGTTGGGTGTCACGCCTATGACGAATCACCGCTTGTGTACGCCGCCTAAGGACACCTGCCTCCTCCTCTCTCCTCTTCCGCGGCAAACAACGAACCCGGTGACTTTCGTCGCCGGGTTTCAACGGGTGACCTATGACCCCGGTACATCGATTTCCTCGTCGATCCGTCACCATTAGATTCCACCGTGAAGAGCTGTCCGCGTGGGGTCCCACCGATCGGAAATTCTACGTCTTCGTTCTTTTCGCATAAAGCTTCTCCCTTCTGCACGAACTTTGCGAGGATCGCGATCTGGATATAAAATTTCGCGTATCACTCTTCAACGCGCACCCGACAAGCATTATCACGGCTTTTAATAGAGAACGCACGTGTGCCCTGGCTTTTGATCGTCATGACGTTTATCGTACGGGGTCTTAATAAATTAGAGAACTTTAACGCGTTGGGCTCTCGTAAATATCGATTCTAGGTTGCCTTTCAATAGCCACGTTTCTTTAACCTGTTTGCGTAATTAACGCGTGTCGCTCGATTTACCTGCTCGTTATCACTGCATCGTACACACGCGTTTTCTTAACAAGTTTCCATTGCGAAAACCGATCATCATCAATCGTGTTGCTAACATAATTTCGTCATTATTGGATTTAATCTAAAAGGCAGTGCGGTTGAGAAAAATTCACATCAATTTTCAATGGTACTGACAGTAATCCCGAACTGATCGTTTAATGAAATGCGAGGAGAAACGGCACGTAGATCCGAAAAGGATCGTGCCCGACGAACATGCTCGAAGGATTACGTATCCCTCAGAGCTCACCTTCGGCATTCTGGTCCCAACTTCTTCTTCCTACTCTCGACCGTGGGCACGGACGAGACGAGGCCCATGCGTGAAAGTTCAGAGGCCCTCACGACCGCTCCTCGCGCTTTCAAAGATCCCCGAGTGCCTCGATACAAATTTTATCCGAGCCGTTTGAAAATCAATGTAAACCAGCGACAAGATGTTCCGTGGCGCGTGGGACGCGGAAGAAAAACGGCAGGAAGAGATAAGAGAAGAGAAAGAATGAGAGGGAAAAAGTATTAGACAGGCGAGGCGAGCGCGGGTTTTCCAGTTTCGTCGGCTGGCAGGCCGGATTACATTCCCGAGGTCTTTAACGAGACGTAATTACACAGCGAAAGGTACGAAGCGACGGATGCCTTCGGAATATAGCTACTAACACGATAATTGCCGCTATTACGCTCTGAAACGTCGTATTTAACGGCTAAACGCCGTTCGCCTACTAATCGTCCAGCGAAGCCCCATTGATCGATCGGAATTGATACCCGCGTTTACCTTACAGACCAAATTCCTGTCGTTCGTTTCTCCTCGACCCGTTTGTTTTTTCCGGTCGCAACGCGACGCCGCGTGGCGTTATCGTAATTACCCTCTGGTCAACGTAATTCCAAGTAATCGAGAAGTCGTAAAATCAACGAGGTCGACTTTGACACTAAAATATATTGTTTCAATTTCGTGATATAACTGTAGTCAACTGCAAACGTAGTACGATATCTTAGTTGGCAATTGCTTACAATGTACGTAGAATAATAGTTTGTTGCCATAACCGACAACATAAAGGCCGCTTGCATACTACCTATCCTATTACCCATGTCCACCCGTGAATTTTCTCTTCTTTTCAGGCGACAATGTTTCCGAAAATTTCTCGTCTTTTATACAATTTACATCTTTTATTTTAATTATCCTTTCTCCATCCGATGCCATAACCGGCACAAAGTATTATTATACATACATTCACGATCGACTTCGTTCAAAAACTAGTCGGTGCGTGTACGTTCGTAAAATGTATGCAAAAATGTGTTCAATCAATTCATTACGTCTTTACGTATTTATTGAGATATCAAACTACTCGATCAATTCTATGAAGTCTTTGGATGAAAATTTCCTATTTTCCAACGTGTTCATGAAGCAGGAGGGATAAAATCGGGGCACAACGTTTACCTGGCGCGTAATCCTGTAAGCGCCCCTTATTACGCTCCGCGTGGCCCATTGTCGCATGATCTTAACTTCTACGGATTATAAACTGTTCGGCATTAACGTCTTTTTGTTCCGCGTTTTCCATCGAGCTTCTATCCGCTCGTATCCCGCTGCGCGCTCGGCCTCGCTCCCGTTTGTCGCAGAGGAGGCCCTCGCCGCTGCTGGATACAGAGGTGAACGTTCACGAACCGTTCTGCGACGGTACCACGCGACTCTCCAAGTGAGAATCGTTACAAATTTCGTACAATATATTAAGTTGGAGTGCGTCGTCACCCGACGTCGTAAATTCAACGAGAACCGGTCTCGATATTTCAATACGCGAGATAATGCGCATAAAACGAATATACTTTTCCTTTGGCCGAGGCAAGAACATCGAGCGATGTAATCTCGCGGAAAATTGCCAAGAAAAATCGGCGACAAGCGTCCCACGCGCGCGGTAGCCGAACAGAATTTCACGAATAATAAGTAATCGCGAGGCTTATCGCCGGCGCGAAAAAAATGCTGCGAACGGGCATATCCTTGGTCGGTTCGCCGATGCACGGATAAAGGTGGATCCATAATTCCTCTTTCTCTTTCACCCCTCTCGCGCCGTAATTAATGAACACCGAGTAGAATGGGGAGAATTATTGCACGCTCGCGGCCGCGAGTCCTTTTATGAAAGGACCGCGAGATTGAAATCGGTGGCCACGGATGTCTGCCCGCTCTCGCCGGAATTTATACCCGTTCCACAAAACGGAGAAAGGAATGCGTCATTGGACACATGTCGCGCCACCGGTCTTCCGATTCGACGCAACAATATGTAGCCTCGTATTTATCACCGACGTAGAACCGCGAAATGAATCATTCCCCGCGTTTTTCTAACTCAAACTACCTGCGATCTTTGCCCTCGGCTGTTTTCTACCGACACTTCGTTGGAAAATTTCGCGACGTGCAAATACGAAATCGACTTCACCGAAGGATTTTGTTTTCGATTCTGGGCTAATTTAGACAGTGGAGTTCGATCGAATGTAGCCAGGGACAGCTGCGGTGGAACCCCCGTAAACGATCCCCGACGCGCGTGGAACGTGGATAGAAGCGTGGAACGTGAGCGGCGAAACACGTCCGAACAAAAACCGTGAAGCGGAGGACAATGCATTGTGACACGGGCATCCGAAAGGGCGGGAACGAGGTCGGAGCGACGTCTACTCCATCACTCGACTGTTGTCGATCCGAAGACCGGCGTCGGATCCATGGAAAGAACTGAACCGCGCAATTACCGGTATTGTAAAAATAACTTCTTACGATCCTCGACTGGCAACCGATGATAAAGTTCAAGGCGAACTTCTGATAACTAAACGATGAAAAAAAGCGTTGAACGAGGAAAACTGACGCGCTAAGTTCGCTGGGGAAAAAGCGGGAGCGAAGATCGCATTCGGTGCTCTCAATCAGGGAATCAGCGAAGATACGATCGCGGCGTCGTTCGGATGAATCATCAGTTGGTTCTCTGCCGAGATCGGAAATCGGCAATACGGAAAACAACGCGAAAACTCGCGGAGGGGCGAAGCTACGCGAACAAAAGCGGAAAAACTAGGGGTGACTGCTCCCGCTTCTCTCCCTGGCTCCCGCAAACAACCGCGTCTCTTTTCTCGCCTATACCGCCGCTAACACGACTGGACAACAATGCGGGCCGCATTGCACGCGTCCTACCGCTAATTCCTCGCGTTCTTTCCCCTCCCAGTGTTGCTCTTACTACCCTATCCTCCTCCACCACTGTTTCACTTCTCTTTCCCTCGCTTTGCTCTTCCGCCCTTCGGACGGAGATCTCTTATGACCGTCCCGTTGGCCGAGTCTGGAATTGGATTTCAGGAAGGACTTTTTTGCGAGATCCTTTCCATCTGCCCGACACGCTTCACGTTCAACCGGTGAAGAAAGAAATCAGATTTATCCTAGCTGCGCCATTGCGGAAAATTCTACTGGACGTCCGATCGAAAGGGAAAGCGAAGGTTCCTGGGATAAATTGTGTCTCGCATACGCATCGAATAGCCATCAAAATAAGATGTGTCCATGAAAACGAATTCATTAAAATGGAAATAGCGAAAGACTTTTAAACAGTGAATAATCCGAACGATTAACTCAGGCAAAATGATAATTGAGTTTAACCAATTGGCCAGCTGCTGACAGTCGAAGAGGTGCGAGATCGATAGATCCGACAGCGTTCTCCGAATACGTAACGCTGAAACGAGGGAAGGGGTTAGTTTCTAGGTAAATATTTCGTCGCAGATTCGGGTGTGACGGTCGTTAAATTTGTCAGCGGGGCCCGTGGCCGGAATTCGTGCTCCGCAATCCCTTCGAGCCTTCTGCGGTGCTCTAGTTTATAGCGTCACCCGGTACATTCGGTGGTCCGATAGCGCCGTTACGCGCCTCCCTCCCCGACCCTTCGAAATTTGCATCGCATTTACATCCGATTGCGGCGCTACGCTGACTGAAAGTGGCCAGACAGAGAAAGGGTCTGCCTACGCTCTCGGCCTCTCTCGCGCGGATCGAACTCGCCCCGAAGGGCAGGTGCCCTTCGAGGGTCAGGGACGATGCGGTCCACTCCACGAATAGATCGTTATTAGGCTAACGATTTCACTCGATGAAAATGATAGTCGCCCAAAAATGTATGCGCTGGCTACATCGGTTCGAGGGGATGAACTAAAAAATCAACATTACACCTAGAAGCTCGCATGTTGCAAAAAAATAATTTGCAAGAACACCGGGGGGTTGGATTTAAAGGGCGATTTTCAGCGAGAGGGATTTCTGAACGAGTGCTCAAGGTAAACCTAGAGGAGTCAGGGTCATAGGTGCAGTTACGTCGGAATTGAACGTTATTTTCAGCGAGTGCTGGCCACTTAACTTGGTCTGCCGCGTGTGCGCGCATGTACGTACGCTTCTACGTGCGTGTCATAGGTCCTATTATCGTGGCCACTTGATGCCGGGACAATCTGCGCGAGCAAGCTTGCTGCTAAAGTTCGCGCCACGACTATCGCGACCCATTTAAACGGGATAAGCTGCGTTTACCCTTCCCTCTCGAGTTCGTCGATCTTCCTGAATCATCTCAAACTATATCGCACTCCTTATCCATACGTAAACGTCTGAGTAAATGTTTTTAAATGCACGCTTGACGCCAACCTATCCCAACCTAGCTTCTGAATAATGGACAACGTGATGCTAAAAGTATTAAAATCAAGGAATTTGCAAGCCTTTTTTTACATTCTGTCAAGAATAGAAATGCACTGCGGGATCTATTACTGTTTCGAAGTCCCCGAGCATTTATGAGGGTTTCCAGTTTCTCGTTAGCAGCTGATCGTTTCTCAACCTTTGTACCGATAGGATTCGCTTCCGCGTTTCGCGACGAGCTCGCGGAGAACGTAATTCGCGTGGTTTTACGACGCCACCGAGTTATCGCGAGCAAAGAAGCCGCGGTGGAGTAAAGAATCTCCGGAGGCAAGGAAAGAACGAGCGAGACTAATTGAATCGTCGCTCGTTCGAGATTAGAAACGCATCGCGGCTCTGCGCGCAGATGTTAAGTAGCTCGATTTTATGGGCCATCCGGTCGTCTCGCCGCGCCGCAGTACCGGTGAAAAGCTCGTAGGACGATACGCAACGAGCCTCGATAGAGTGACGAACTCGCCTTCTCGTCGAGTCGACACCTTCTCCTTGACATTTTCCCTCAACACCTACGGACGCTGTGCTCGATTTGAGGAATTCAAGCTCTCGGAACGATGACGAGCAAACAGAACAATCCAATCGGAAATTCGATCAATTAATAAATCAAC